AGAGCGAGGTGAATAGCTGCTTGTCCAATCCCGCCAGTACCAGAGTGTATAAGTATCTTATTGCCTTTTTTCATTTTCCCATGTATATATAAGGCTAAGTAAACCGTGCTGTAAACGCACGGGACCGTCGCCGCCGCTTCAAATGTCCACACATCGGGTATCTTCCAGCAGAAATCTTTATCTTTCACAACGGCGTTTGCAATACAACTAGAAAGAATAATCTTAATTTAGTTTCAATTCTATAATGTTACGCAACGTAATTATTTTTTGGAGCATTATTTACTCAGTATCACGGATTCCCATTACACGTTGCCCATTGGCATCAAATCCTACGTATTCAAACCCAAGGGGAGTACATTGAATCCGTCCTCGCGAGATCGCTTGATCAGATACTAATTTACCAGTCGCAAGCATTACATCTTTGAAATTGAGCGATGAATAAACCACACGCACCAAATCCTCACGATGGGCTTCGACAGATAGACTGTTCTCTATCCAACAAAATGTATCTAGATTACCACGGACCTATAGAAAAATATCAATTTCATAATACGTGACATATATATAAAACAAAATTTTATATCGTGTGACAATACTCAGAGACAAAAATACATAATATTACTGTACATTGATAAAGTATATTGATATGGTTTGAAAAGATTCGTATGACATACCGTTTGGCATACATGAGCGGTAGGTACGGGTTCGGCTTCCGGTCGTGGTAATCGCAGATGTCTGTATGATCCCCAGGTCTCATTAGATCGCAATACATTAATGAACATATCTTTTTGCAATTGATGTATATAGAAGGGATCCTGTAGAGAAAACTTAGGGACTTTCTCATCTTGAATAAGCACACCCCTAACAAACTCTCCGCCTGGCTCTTTTCTCAAACAGTTAACAAAACCTAATAAACCGCTCTCAAAATCTCTCTCTCCAACAATTATAATCCTGCTCTTTTTCTCGAGTTTATTTTCATCGCTCACAAGCAGCTTTATATCCTCCAGCCAATTAAAATTATCATTATTTATGTAGACAACAATTCTCTTTTCTATCCAAATTTTCTTTTTTAAAAGCACAATCATTTCTTTGTCGGTGCGCTTTTCAAGAATAACATTTAATTCGTATTGCTGTAAATATTTGGTGTAATTAACTACGTCGCATTTCTCACGTGACAACAGATAACCACCTTCTCTCAGAAATGACAAAAGTCGTTCTAACGAGGCTGGTTGCTTGGTCAAAATGTTGAATCCGGCAACTATTAAGGCTTTGTCATCTACAGATGGTTTGTTTAAATCTCTAATTGAAATGTTCTGCGATAGATCTTCTGGACTATAACGATTTGGCGATGTTAATACAATGATGTTTGTTTGTATCAATGGCTCATCACCAAAAGCCTCAAGCAGCAACGAAGAAGAAAGATATTCTGGTGCGACATCGTCGACATCTTCCACTAGCTCGATGGTTTTCACTTTGATGATTTGATGATCTTCCAGGGCGAGTTGCGCCGATATTCGAATCGCTTCGTTCAAAGAAATCTTAGCGCGATCATGATGAGCTACAAATACGTGTTCTTCGATAACAACATCCTGACCCAATCTTCGGCGAGAGATCTGAGTGGTTTTAATGCCTCGAATCTCTATTCCGCCAGCTATAATCGTGTCTAGTTCTCTGTATATTCGTATCGGTAATGCTGCAATAAGACAAAATAATACGTTTTATATATCACATCAGAGATTTTCTTACACGACATTCGTCAAAACAAAATAGCTCAAAACAAGTGATTGAAGAAGAACACTTATTACTTTTATCCTTGCATGTCGTATCTTCCACACCAGCCACGCTGTTTCGTAGCATCGATGCATGAAGCTTAGGATTGATCACCAACTTCTGAATACTCGTCGTAACACATAAGTCTCTGGTATCATACCCAATAATAAACATCTGTAGCATAGTATCCATAAACGTTACCCAATTTGTTTTCCAAACAATATGTCCTTTATTGCCTGAAATAGATGCGCTATGTAATCCGCGAAACCAACCGTTGTACTGGTAACCACGCAGTTTCAACTCCTTATAGATATCTCGAGCAGTCATATATTCTTCTTCATCGTTAATCTCCGGTAATAGATCTGTCCGAATCATTTCCTGTTCTGGATTCGATATCTCGTGCACTGTACCTGTCACAAGAACGCTATCTCTTTCGGTTATTTCAAACTTCCCATCTGTAATATTTTTATATATCCGATTATTTTACATACATTCTTATACGATTATGCTACTTTAAAATAACTCATCTCATAAATACCTTTCTGTATCGAAATCATCACTTTTACAGCATTACTTTTCGTCAAGTGAGTAGCGCGAATAAAGTTTACATCTCGAAATATTATCGGTATTGTTGTGTATGTTATCCCTTTCATCATACCGAAAGTTTGCCAAACGAGTACAAGATAACTCGTCGCGGGTAGCAAATTTCTTCCATCGATTATATGACCATGCATATAATAGTAGTCCTCATCATCGAGTGAGATTTCGACATATCTTTCTCGAGATTTTATGGACATTTGTGTTTCAAAACACGGTATATACCAATCTTTGGAGTGATCCCATCTAATGTGGCATTAGAATGCTTGTTTGTACATTAATACGTTATATAATTACATATATAAGAAATATATATTATATGATTATTTATATATGTGATATATATTTAAATAATAATAACAGATTTGATAATATTAATTTATTACCTAATAAATATAATTATAATTAATAATATATTATATTAATAATTACAATATAATTATAAATAATATAAACATATATTTATAATTTCTTTTATGTAGACATAATCTAAATTGCGATTTCAAATAATATTTTGTACCTGATCGATGGGGAAATCATAGGAGTTCCTCGACTAACAGGATATTCCACTGGCGGGTATAAATTAGCAACTTTCGGCTGTAAGCCACAGTTATACAGCCTTCCAATTCCTTGTAAAATTGCGTCAATATTTTGTTCAGTGCGTCGAGTCAATACAACGTTCATTACTTCCGAACACAAGGATTCTTTCAGAACGTGCTGCAGAACGCTATCTGGCGCAATTTCGATGGTCACTGCGTTATTTGAAATTAGATGCGTTGTTTGTTCAAAAAGAACGGTATTTAATATACTATGTGTATGATAGTCCGCCGATGATAATTTTGATGCTGAGGTGAACCATTCGGTGCGAGGTATGGAAGTGCTGATCCATTTTGGACTCCGTTTCGTCGGCCGTGATATTACTTTGTTTAAATTAAGCAAAAGTTGAATTTCCACAGATGCGAGATAAGAAGTGTGATACGGTACATTGCAGTGTACCTCTTTCACGTGAATATTATTGATCTGACAATACAAAAGTACAAATTTAATATATGCAAATGCGGCAAGTTTGATATTTTGAAGATCATTAAACGAAGTTTTCTATTCGCTTATGAAATATAAGAGCTATTCAATCCTACCTGCAAGATTTTCATAAATTCTCGCACGGAGTCTGTGGGTCCACTCACAACGCTGCTATTCTCGCTATTGCGACATATTATTTCAATATCCACTGGACACATGTTTTTGAGACACTCGTAATCAAGACTGACAATTGCCATAGAGCTACGAATTATTTTTCCTTCGGCACACGCCAAACCAATAAAATATGCTGATAAAATAGTTTGTTCGATAGTGAGACATCCATCGGCGTACGCGCAACCAAGTTCACCAGCAGAATGGCTAATCATGTAATCCGGAATAATTCCTAATGATGTTAAGAGATCTACTAAACCAATCTAAAAATTTATACAAATAATTTTATAGCTGAATTACTTTGAAGAATTCATTTCTAATAAATCAATAAAGTGTGGTGAAATAAATGTAGTTATGTAAGAAGATAATTCCACTGTAGTAGGACAAAATGACATAGAAAGAATTTATATTGCTTCATCAATAAATATAGTATAATTGACATTATTTTATAGCTCCGAAGTATATTTTACCTGAATAGCAACAATGCCAACAAACGCGTGTAACGCGTCTTCGCACACTTTTTCATCTGCTTTTGTCAAAATATCCGCGACACCTATACCATATGGTTTTAAAGTAACGTCGCACACTCTTATCGCATTTGCAAAGACGTGAAATTTTAATAAATTTCGACCTAATTTTAATTAAAAAATATATTATTATTTAAATGCTACTGTAAATAAAGTATGGAACATTAAATACATATATACCCATTCCTGGCCATTGCGAGCCTAAAGCAGAAAATATAAACCAAACAGGTCTTTTCGCATTCTTGCAATTTTGAATTTCTCTTATTGAATCTTGTTGCAAAATATTCAGTATAGTGAATCCTCTCCATAAGTGACCATCTATGCTGTCCCCATAGACGTCGTGTATTAAACGGATATATTCTATATTTATCGGACGATTAGCGACCTATAATCAAAATTTTTTTAAAGCAAAAAGTATGATATAATGATTAATCACTAAAAAGATCTTGTTGAGATTGCTTTCCAAATGTCTACTAACATCGTTTAAGAATAACTTCACTGATTCTTCAGTGCTCCCAGATAATATTACAAGTCTTGGCAAGTCATTACTCGGTATTCCATTGTTAACTTTTTGTTTGAGGTTCCACTTTAATAACATGTGAGCATTAGCTCCCCCGAAACCGAAAGAATTGATACCTATATAACCGTTTTTAAGTGGCATCGGTTCTTCGATGACACGAACAGTTCCATTTATTATGGCATCTATATTTTGTGGTGATGTATAATTGATATTTGGTGGAACAAAACCGGTTTCAAATGCTATTATTGCCTTTAAAAATCAGTAACAATTATAAAATGTAAATATGAATTAATTTGTTAGATATTGACTCATATATTATTAATAAATAAGTAGTGATATGCCACACACGTTTGGTCAAGCTGGATCTTTATAGCTTAATATTATTTTTGTGTGAATTTATATACTTTTTTCACTAAAACTGATCGCCAATTATTCGTTAGTCTTGAAACACAGTTTTTCGTTGGGGAACAATAAGTTTAACATATTTAAATTGATTTAACTTATTGATGCTAATGTATATCAGCATCATTTATAAGTCACTGTAAACAATTTTTAACTTAAAATAAACTTGAAATAAATTCACAAAAAATCAAATCCAGCTCAACCAAAGATGGTACATCTTTATTTGTCAAAATTATTTATCGATCAAAATTT